CACGAGTCTACGGAAACCGCGGCAGACCAAACCAGATGAAAGTGCGCATTTTATGGACCTTTCTGCCTCGGGCACCATAGACCTCCGTTATTTGAATGTCAGCAGACAGCAAGAAGCCTCCCAGAGCTCTGAATGCATTTGAGATATCAAAAAAGTACTCCAGAGTGTTGTTCAGCATGGGGGTGAGTAGAAAATGAAGGCTAATCATGTTTTGGGTGTACTATTCCTTTAAACTTAGTCTGTAGTCTAGTGGGAAAGGGAATCCTTATTTACTTTTATGTAATCTTTAAACCTGTCGCACATCTGCCTCATTGTTAGTTAACCATCATGGCACTAACCCAAGCTTTCACGTATTGGCTCCATTTATTTTGGATATATTGGGTAGCTGAGGTTTATCCCTCAGTAAACAGAGCAATGGTGGAAAACTGCCAAATTCTTTTCTGCACAAATCATCATCCAGGACCTTCATCCTACACTCTAGCTTCTGAGTACCACCATCTATGTTATATGTTATATAGCTTCAGTTTACCCCTCGCCTCTCTCACTTTTACCACAATCAGCCACAAAGTTTTTCCATCTGTCACTTTCAATCTCTCTCCTGAGGTCCTTCTGCCAGATATTCTATAGAAATGTAAAGCTTTTCATTTTCCAGTTGGACGTCTCATAGAGTCGATCACCATGTTTTCAGTCACATTGAGATAATAATCACTTTTCAAATTTTCCAAAAATGATACAGTCCCACCAAATTAAATTCAGCAACAACCTGCTTCATTTTGGTCTGAAAGTAAAACGATGTTTGGTTTTTAAGTTGTTGGGTTTTTTTGCAAGAAAAACAAACAAAAAAAAAAAAAAAAAAAGAGTGCTGCATGATATTTTTACAATTTGGTAAAGGGCAATTTAAAAAAGAATGACATTTGTTAAGCAATCTGAAATAAAGGCTATAAAAAAATTGATAAATAAAAATATGGAGAAATAATATTTTATAAATAAAATAGGGGAAAAATTAAGACGGAGTATTAGGGCTAGGCTAGAGATTTTTTTTTCTTCTATTTCGAGAATAAATTTGTAACTTTACGAGAATAAAGTCCTAAAATTCCGAGAATAAAGTCACAACATTACAACAATAAAGTCGTAAAATTCAGAGAATGAAGTGTTAACATTCGAGAATAAAGTCATAAAATTGCAAGAATAAAGTCGTACTATTAAGAGAATAAAGTCGTAATATAGTCAGAGGATTAGGGCCACTGGAAAAAAAAAAAAAAGTTAACTGATTTTTTTTATTTTATTTCAGTATAGTATGGGAAAAAAGTCAGAATTCTGAGAAAAAAGTCAGAATTCTGACTTTTTTCTCAGAATTCTGAGATTAAAGTCAGAATTCTGACTTTTTTC